TATAAAAGCTACCGGAAGCTACACCCTCAACAATACATAAAACCCAAACAGCAAAGATAAAGATCTTCAACAGCAAACCGCTAATTGTAAAATCATATGCGACGACAAAAAACACGAATGAAATGGACACTTGAGAAAAAAATTGCAAGGCTCAATGATTTTAGCCGCCCGCATGTAGAGTGCGATAAGTGCAACACTTTTCTTGATTGATTGTTTCCACTGAATGAAAAAAAAAACAACTGATCCGCTGGTTTGAAAGGCGTATTGACATACATTCATTCTTGTAATCAGCGGACTGACAAGTCAAGAGCCCGGTTGAATAAAGCCGAGTGTTCGTTGATTTGAGGGACGAGTGCTGCATCATTGTTGATTGATGAACACCGAAAGAGCACATCGCAATAGGCATAAAATATCGCTGATTGTTGCATTCTTAATCTATCTATCTACTCGAACCACCGCCATTAATCTTCAAAAAATTGATGCTCAACCAATGAGAAGTGTAATTTTACTCTTGCGATTTGCATTGGTGTTTTGCACGACTCTTTGATTCGGCCGCTGTACAAAATTTTGTCCGTTGCTTTCGGCATCCGCTGAACGAATCGAAGTCGGTTGGAACGAGTTATGCGTGTGGGTGTATTACACTAGATGAATGACGGAAAAAATCACCTGATGATAATCAAAAAACTTCATTAATGTGTTCAAACTGCAGAAGGATTTCTTAAAAACTGACGAAATTGTAACGATACATTACAAACGAAAAAGGGCGTTACTTTCACCACACCCTCATCGTTGACTGCAGTGAGTAAAATTTTTTCGTGACAGTGCAAAGAATAGAAGATTCGATTGAGTAAATTGATGGATAATGGTGGATATTTGAAGTTGAAGCCCATTGCATGCTAGAGGAAGAGGAAAAATTGATAGTGAAATGCTAAGCAGCATTGAAATCAAACGTATATGACACCATCTTGTTGCATTTCTTTGCAAACCGCCGCCGATGAAGAAATAATCAAATAACAGCGAGTATTAACNCTTTTGTCACCTTCACAATTGGATAATTTTTTCAAGCGCCAGTAAAATCCAAGCTAAACGAAATTTGACGTGAACTTTTGCGATATGCAAATCTCAAAATAAATCAAATCCATTCGGCGATCTATACAAGGGAATAGAAACTGCTTCCTTTAATAAGGCAATTCAGTTCTCAGTTTTTTCCTTCATTTTCCTTTAAGAAGTCAAATATTATTTTCCGCAACTGAATCAAACCAAGCAAATAAATGATTCCGGTCGATGAAAAAAGTCAGACTACGTCAGAAAAATGTTCAATCAATCAATCTTTCGTATTCAGTCACGTCCACCGTAACTAATTACCTGGTACACACGGTCTCCAGTTGAGATGATGCACTCGAATCGCATTAAATTTTTTACACAAAAATCATCAAGTGCCATAAATCGCACGTACAATTAATTTCACTTCAAATCCTTGCGATCAGATTGCAAATTTTCAGTTATGAATACTGCAGCAAAAATCGATCAGTGAGATCGATGACTGAAGTGATGAAAATACTGACGAGTTGAAAACATCAGCTGCTACTATGGGATGGCATTCGCACATCGCCTTTGATCGTAAGAGAAATTGATGATGTGAGCAATATTTGTAGGAACTAAACTGACCCTCAAAAAGCTTCGTATTTTACCTGACTATGATCGGGAGAGACCTTAACAAATCAACTTAAATATTTCAAATAAGTCTAATGCTACAAATTGGAGGATCCTTTCTTGTCATTTCCGTGACCGGTCAATCTGTCTAAAGACATCTAGTCCAATGACAGTTTGCCTAAAAACACATTGCCTAACGGACAGTTTGCCTAACTTAGGGTTTTTAATGGATATTTCACCTAATAGGCAAACTGTTCCTTAGGCAAACTCTCCGTTCGGCAAATTGTCCGTTCGGCAATTGTCCGTTAGGCAAACTGTCCGTAAGGCAATGTGTCTTTAGGCAAACTGTCGCTAGGCTAAATGTCTTTGACCGAGTACCGTCATTTCAGAGAAACGATGGGCTCGAAAGACCTTAAAGGTGGATTTGAAAACGTAATTGGAAAAGAACAACACCGAAATTTCGAAGACAATCACTGACAGATGGTGCCAGCGACGTCGTTGGCTTCCTTTTTTGCGCTTCATTTATTGAAATTCTGACTTCCATCTGGAAACACTGAGTCGTTCCAGAGAAGATTCCTTCGTACACTATTACCCGAAATGACCTTTGGCGAGGTTATTTCAAAAATACTCCGTAAGTTTCTGTATCTGTTTGAGATAGCCATGAACTTTCTAGCTTTAGTCAGTCTATATCAAGGCAAATCAGCAACCATTTTAGCATATTCCTCGCTGAATATGGCAAATAAAAGGTTGAAGCAATTTTCCACTTTAGCACGGAATCGGAGAGTTATAAAATTTGTTTTTATTGCCGATCAGAATGATCTGTGAAAGATGAATAATGATCAAAGTATGACGATTAAATTCATCTTTATAATCGCTAATAGCATCTTCAGAACCTGATTGTAATAATTCACTCTATCATCAATTCACATCGAAACGACTTAAAACTCCGTTCGTCGGTCAATTCGACACGCAGGAAGCATGTTATTTTGCGCATTCAATGTGCATTCGCAAATATGACCTCAAAAACTTTTTGACATCTGAACACAGCAAGTAACATCGACTTGTCCAAAAGTTCCTGTCGTTCGAAGTTGCACTCCCCTCCAAGGATAAATCATCTGGCAAGCCAAAAAACTCATAAGCATAATTCATAAGCGCAAAGTTCGAATTGAAACGAAACCACTGACACCATACCGATTTTCCCATATTTTCGATTCGTATTTTCAAGCAGTCGTCAAGCAGATTTCTAATCACTAGGAAATGAATGCACCATATGAACTTGTTCACGTCATTTTACGAGGTGTGCAGCGGTATCGCTTTCTGACAAATCTCGGAAATGCATAAAAATCTGTAGCAAATTCGATAACAAATGGAATGTATGATGAAACATAGAATTATAATGGAAGGAGTTGACACTGAAACAGGTTCAGCGCTGCTGACGATCGACGTTAGTTAGTTGGTTAGTAGTTTCCTGTAAACGTGTTGTATGTTTCCAATAACGATTTGAAACGTCGTCTTCACATTTTTATCGTCGACGAATCCAATCCACTACGCCACGCCATCCACTCAAACAAAAGTCTGCCTTCAGTCGTCTATACATAATTCATTTCGATAGCACTTATTATCAAATTATTATTCATCGCGCACACGTTGTTATCAGCATTATTTGATTAATTGCTGCCAGTTTCGTTGAATGACCCCTATTCGTTTCGCCGTTTCCTCATCAAAATCAACTAGTTATCGGCCAATGAATTTTCGATGTGTTCATATCTGTTGAAATCAATCAGCTCAAAAATTCATCATTCGTATTATCCGAAACCGTACAGAACTTTTAATTAATCCTCATTGCTTGCCCGTCTTATCTCACCTTTCATCTTCGTCTTCAGCAAACACCTAATGCCAAACCCAACCACCAAACTTTCACTTCAAAATTTCTCCTTCTCCTTAACGATCACTATCTGTTTGACCAACTTGTGTCACCTTCAAATTATCGCATATTTATTCGATTCACTTGAATGTTCACAGATTCAAATAAATGAATGAATACGTTCACTTTCCGCTCCCTAAATGACTATTAATTTGATCTAATTTTCGTCATTTCTTCAAGTTTTAATCTCATTCTCACAATATTCATAAAGCGATCAAAACGAGTGTCTGAATATGTCAAAAAATCTGCACTTTCCTCATCATTCCTCCTACACAAAACTGACCAATTCCTTGCCGTCTTACTCCACTAATTTTTCGTTTTTTCGCGCATTTTTAGCTATGATCCGATAAATTCCTGAATTCCAAAAAAATCAATAAATGAATCTGAAATGACTGAAACTGGTTTTGGAAAATAGTGAAAAAATCACAACGAGTTTCAAGAAAACCAATTCATTCCATTTCGAGCGAATT